CCGGGACTTGGAGAGCTGTATTGGACCAGGTAATAAAACTTCACTTGTCTATGATGGATGTCTTATTATAGTCTTTGATAGCCATTATCTTGGAGTAGTTTCTGAGTGTGACGTGAGTTCAAAGATTGGAAGGTTTGAGTGGCCCATGTGCCCTGCACTTGCCGTGCCGCATACCTTGTATCATGCCTTCCAAACCCTTTCTTCAGATTACAATGTCCATTCCTTAAGGACAAGCAATTCAATAACATTCCCATTGGAACCAATTCTTCCATTACCCCTTCCTAGGAGCTCCAAGTCATCTCTCTCTGTTGCAAAGATTGGATGTTCTGATTAGAGTGGCCAAGGGGTTGCAATATCTTCATGACTTCGGCATTGTGCATCGCGACATCAAGCCAGCCAACATTCTGCTTGATGCAAAATTGCATGTAGGTCTACTATGTTTTCTCCTTGCATTTTGTTTGACAAGTCACCAACCTAACATTTTGTTTTTTCTTTTACTAGCATGTCTTGACATGTTGAAAGCACTTGGTGCAATTGACAATCTTAATTTTGCGTACAAACTGTTGTTCAGGCCAAGATTGCAGACTTTGGTTTGGTAAAGCTCACTGGAGGCACCGCTATGGGCACGTCTGTGGCTGCCACTCGAGTGATGGGGACTCCGGGCTATGTGGACCCTGCCTATTACAAGTCCCACAAGGCCACTTCAGCAGCAGACGTGTACAGGTGAGCGGGTGAAGATATTTCTTTCAAGTTGAGTAAGAAACCATCTGTGGCTACCACTTGAGTGATTGGAACACTCCAGCAGCAGGTGTGAGCATAGAAATGTATTTTTCTTCTATTTGTGATGTGGGTAGGGCATAGAAATGCTCCTCTGAAATGTCTGACATTAATCTCCATTCTCCTGTCCCTCTTTCTGATTGGTCTTAACAGCTTTGGTGTGGTGATGCTGGTTGCCATCTCGGCACGCAAGGCCGTGCATGTGAGCGAGACCAGCCAGATCAGTCTGAAGCAATGGGTGAGCACAGATTCTTGGTACAGACTTACTGTCTGAATATTTTATGCGATAACTGCACAACTACTGCTCAATCCTCCACTCATAAGTATGTACTTCATTGAACAATCACGCATATGTCCACATGGCTCAACCCAACAGATCACACCATTCGTGGAGTCAGATGCCGTTACAGTCTTCAAGGACCCCTACTTGGACGCACCAGATGACTTGGTGCTGCGCTGGGCTCGCCTTGCCCTCTCCTGTACCACCATGCCTGCGGCCTCCCGCCCCTCCATGAATCAAGTGCTGGGAGAGATGGTGAAGTTGAAGCAGGAAGCTTCTGGAGCACATGAGAGCCATGTGGGCGAGGCCAAATCTCGCATTGACATGGAGCTTGGGAGCTCCATTGGCTCATCCAGCTTCACTGCTGAAATGGCCCGTGCGGAGCGCGAGGGTATGCCAAGTGGCTGTTCCACGTAGTAAAGTTCGTTTTCACCTAAACAATACCGGTTTGCCTAGAGCTTTTGGTACCATTGGTTTGTGCCATACGAAAACATATATGGCATGGGGAGATAAGGCCTGTTGATATTTGTTGTGAAAGGGATAGTGGCATCTTTGGTGAGCATATAGATGGATCAGATAGATTGGTCTATGTACACCAAAAACACCAACGATCAATATCGCCAACAACAGAACATTTTGATGGATACGTGCACCACTGGCAACCATATTGCAACTAGAAGAGGGAAGGGGAAATCGAAAGAAGAGGCGACACAGGGGACGGTGGGGTGGAAGTGGATGCTTAATTTGCTGTGTGCTGAGACGGGAAAAGGAAAGCAGGTCGCAGCAAGGTGGTTGGGAAGCGTGATATCATTCGTAGTGATGATGATCAGTGCGCCGAGCACAGATACCTCATTAACCCCATGGCTGACTCATCGACCCATGGCTGGCTGACTGACCCATGGCGGACTGAATGAACGACCCATGGCTGACTGGCTGACCCATGGCTGACTGACTGACCCATGGCTGACTGACTGACCCATGGCTGACTAACTGACCCATGGCTGACTGACTGACCCATGGCTGACTGACTGACCCATGGCTGACTTACTGACCCATGGCTGAATGACTGACCCATGGCTGACTGACTGACCCATGGCTGACTGGCTGACCCATGGCTGACTGACTGACCCATGGCTGACTGACTGACCCATGGCTGACTGACTGACCCATGGCTGACTGGCTGACCCATGGCTGACTGACTGACCCATGGCTGACTGACTGACCCATGGCTGACTGACTGACCCATGGCTGACTGACTGACCCATGGCTCACTGACTGACCCATGGCTGAATGACTGACCCATGGCTGACTGGCTGACCCATGGCTGACTGACTGACCCATGGCTGACTGACTGACCCATGGCTGACTGACTGACCCATATCTGACTGCCTGACCCATGGCTGAATGACTGACCCATGGCTGCCTGGCTGACCCATGGCTGACTGACTGACCCATGGCTGAATGACTGACCCATGGCTGACTGACTGACCCATGGCTCAATGACTGACCCATGGCTGACTGACTGACCCATGGCTGACTGACTGACCCATGGCTGACTGACTGACCCATGGCTGACTGACTGACCCATGGCTGACTTACTGACCCATGGCTGAATGAATGACCCATGGCTGACTGACTGACCCATGGCTGACTGACTAACCCATGGCTGAATGACTGACCCATGGCTGACTGGCTGACCCATGGCTGACTGACTGACCCATGGCTGACTTACTGACCCATGGCTGAATGACTGACCCATGGCTGACTGACTGACCCATGGCTGACTGACTGACCCATGGCTGACTGACTGACCCATGGCTGACTGACTGACCCATGGCTGACTGACTGACCCACGGCTGACTGACTGGCCCATGGCTGACTGACTGACCCACGGCTGACTGACTGGCCCATGGCTGACTAACTGACCCATAGCGGACTGACTGACCCATGGCTGACTGACCCATGGCTGACTGACCGACTTGGGGAGAGTGAGGCATGGCAGGGCATAACAAAAGATATGGCAGGAAGTAGGCATGAGCAGAATTTCTAACCGTTCGAGCAACGTTGAACGGGTATTTTCCGAGCAACGTTCCCGAAAACGATCGACCCGAACGTGGCGACACTGTTCAAGTTAAACATGTCGGTGCGGTTTGACAAGGTCTGCTAAGGCCTGTCAGACGGAACATGTTCGACGGCTAATTTGTTTGAGTTGATACCCGTGCTACTCGGATCTCGCTTGCAGGTTGGAGTTCTAGGTCGCAATATCAAGCTCATACTTCTCCTTACACTCGTTTCACTATATCCAGAATCCCTTTGATTTTAACTAATGTAAATGTTGCTGCGTGGCGCCACATGTCCTGCTCTTATCGCGGATATGATGACAAATTTGTGGGCACATCAGTGCTAGGTTTGGCTGACCGGCCTTTCAGCCCATTGTTTCCCATTCAGACCCACGTGAATCCACCGTTTGGTCGACATAGAGCTAGGGTTAAGCTTTTAGTTCAACCAATATTAATGCCAAAGATTTGGGTTTTAAGATGAGATAGACATTGGGTGGTGAGAGCAGCAGGTGGAGAAAAAAGATAGCTTGTATTGGTGCTGACATGCACGGACCAGGATGAATAGCAAGCACACATGCGCTGCTGTAGGCGCCCAGCCGCTTTTTCCATTACATCAACAGCCCTGGCCCGTGTGGTGTGGCATGCCCTTTCCCTTCAATGCCTGCTTTAGATTCGCCATGAAGCCTGCAGCCGAGAACATGGGGGGAGAAGGCCTTGTGTCAGTCTTAGGTCATTCTCATGTCACTCTGAGGTCACTCTGAGGTCACTCTCAGGCCACTCTCAGCTCAGCCACTCTCAGCTCAGCCACTCTCAGCTCAGCCACTCTCAGCTCAGCCACTCACAGCTCAGCCACTCTCAGCTCAGCCACTCTCAGCTCAGCCACTCTCAGCTCAGCCACTCTCAGCTCAGGCCACTCTCAGCTCAGGCCACTCTCAGCTCAGGCCACTCTCAGCTCAGGCCACTCTCAGCTCAGCCACTCTCAGCTCAGCCACTCTCAGCTCAGCCACTCTCATCTCAGCCACTCTCAGCTCAGGCCACTCTCAGCTCAGGCCACTCTCAGCTCAGCCACTCTCAGCTCAGCCACTCTCAGCTCAGCCACTCTCAGCTCAGCCACTCTCAGCTCAGCCACTCTCAGCTCAGCCACTCTCAGCTCAGCCACTCTCAGCTCAGCCACTCTCAGCTCAGCCACTCTCAACTCAGCCACTCTCAGGTCAGTCTGGTGTCAGTCTCAAGACAGTCTCAGGCCAGTCCCAAGTGTCTCACGCCTGTCTGAAGTCAGTTTCAGGTCAGTCCTAGGTTAGATCAGGTCAATTTCAGGTCAGTCTCAGGCCAGTCGAGTCAGTTTCAGTTCAGTCTCGAGTCAACTTCAAGTCAGTCTTAGGTTAGATCAGGTCAATTTCAGGTCAATCTCAGGTCAGTCTCAGGTAAGTCTGAGTCAGTCTTGGGTCAGTCTCGGGCCAGTCCTGGGTCAGCCTTGGGTCAGTCTTAGGTCAGTTTCAGGTGAGTCTCAGGTAAGACTAATGTCAATTGAGGCCAGTCTCAGGTCAGTCTCAAGTAGCTATGGGGTCAGTCTCGGGTCACCCTCGGGTCATCCTCGGGTCAGTCTTAGGTCAGTTTCGGGTCAGTCTCAGGTCATTCTTGGGTCAGTCTCAGGTCCATCTCAGGTCAACCTCTAAGAGTGTAGTGCTTTACAGGCATGATGTTTTCAAACCGACATTCCTTCTCTCTAAAAATCCCACACTCACTCAACAAGTGAACCTGTTCCGCAATCTAGAAACAACCATGCATTCGACAGCTAAGAAGTTTAGAAAGAAGGTGATGTGGAGGTGGGTTGGGCACATGCTGGAGGTGGGTTGGGCACATGGTGGAGGTGGGTTGGGCACATGCTGGAGGTGGGTTGGGCACATGGTGGAGGTGGGTTGGGCACATGGTGGAGGTGGGTTGGGCACATGGTGGAGGTGGGTTGGGCACATGGCGGAGGTGGGTTGGGCACATGGTGGAGGTGGGTTGGGCACATGGCGGAGGTGGGTTGGGCACATGGCGGAGGTGGGTTGGGCACATGGTGGAGGTGGGTTGGGCACATGGCGGAGGTGGGTTGGGCACATGGTGCAGGTGGGTTGGGCACATGGCGGAGGTGGGTTGAGCACATGGTGGAGGTGGGTTGGGCACATGGCGGAGGTGGGTTGAGCACATGGGGGAGGTGGGTTGGGCACATGGTGGAGGTGGGTTGGGCACATGGTGCAGGTGGGTTGGGCACATGGTGGAGGTGGGTTGGGCACATGGTGGAGGTGGGTTGGGCACATGGTGGAGGTGGGTTGGGCACATGGTGGAGGTGGGTTGGGCACATGGTGGAGGTGGGTTGGGCACATGGCGGAGGTGGGTTGGGCACATGGCGGAGCTGGGTTGGGCACATGGCGGAGGTGGGTTGGGCACATGGCGGAGGTGGGTTGGGCACATGGCGGAGGTGGGTTGGGCACATGGAGGAGGTGGGTTGGGCACATGGCGGAGGTGGGTTGGGCACATGGTGCAGGTGGGTTGGGCACATGGCGGAGGTGGGTTGAGCACATGGTGGGTTGGGCACATGGTGCAGGTGGGTTGGGCACATGGCGGAGGTGGGTTGGGCACATGGTGCAGGTGGGTTGGGCACATGGTGGAGGTGGGTTGAGCACATGGTGGAGGTGGGTTGGGCACATGGTGGAGGTGGGTTGGGCACATGGTGCAGGTGGGTTGGGCACATGGTGGAGGTGGGTTGGGCACATGGTGGAGGTGGGTTGGGCACATGGTGGAGGTGGGTTGGGCACATGGTGGAGGTGGGTTGGGCACATGGTGGAGGTGGGTTGGGCACATGGTGGAGCTGGGTTGGGCACATGGTGGAGCTGGGTTGGGCACATGGTGGAGCTGGGTTGGGCACATGGTGGAGGTGGGTTGGGCACATGGTGGAGGTGGGATGTGCCATCCACAAAAGTAAGGGGCTGCTGCCCTCGATCTTCCCTACCCTCACTGTTGTCTCCCACCTACCGTACCATTTTCCCACAACCCCATCCCTCTTCATTCGGCAGGCGCAAGGCCAAATGTCAATTCTTGGAATAGTCAGCTGTGGACTTCCGTCAGTGGAGTGGCTCGCTCAAATAGGTCACCATTCCACCACGCTCTGTGCTCTTCCAGTTCTCAGCCTTCATCCTACCCGCCTTCCCTGCCTTTCCTTTCTTCCCTGCCCACCCTTGCCTTCCATCACCTCTCCCTCTCTGTAGGCACTATCCGGCAGGTGCAAGGCCAACTCCACTACTCTCATTACGGTTGCCCTCTCTTGATTCTCGGGGGATTCCGTGGCAGTGTGCTCTGCCTTTTCTCAGCCTAGACACAATGCGACCATCTCACATGCCTAATGCGACCATCTCACACGCATCTTGCGACCACGCACTTTGACATGAAGCTACACAAGCATTGTGATTGCAAAAGCTGGACTGTCAACAGATGACCGAGGCCTGCGTGGGAGTGAAGGCAGGTTGGGTCGAAGTTGCAAGGGCAGAAAGCAGGAGAAATTAATGAAATTGGGTTGCTATAGGCAGTTTGACATAAAAAGAGTGGTGGGTACGAGAGGCGTGAGGGGGTAGTAGAGAAGTGGGGCGTAGGAGAGGAGTGGGGGGCTGGGAGAGGAGTAAAGGGTGTGTAAGGAGTGGGTTGTATCATTGTATGATTGAAGTGAGGGGTGTGAGAGGAGTGGGAGGGATAAGAGGAGTGGAGTGGATGGTTTAAACGAATTGATGGGCCCTTGGTCCAACTCGCCCCACCAGGGCAGTTGGGTCCTTGGTCCAACTCACACCACTAGGCCAGTTGGGTCCCTGGTCCAACTCACCCCACCAGGCCAGTTGGGTCCTTGGTCCAACTCGCCCCACCAGGCCAGTTGGGTCCTTGGTCCAACTCGCCCCACCAGGCCAGTTGGGTCCTTGGTCCAACTCACCCCGCCAGGCCAGTTGGGTCCTTGGTCCAATAGCCCCACTAGGCCAGATGGCTCGCTGTTCCATATAGCCTCACCAGGCCAGTTGGGTCCTTGGTCCAACTCACCCCGCCAGGCCAGTTGGGTCCTTGGTCCAATAGCCCCACTAGGCCAGATGGCCTCTGCTTCATCTCTGTCTTGAATGTATATCCTGCAAGCTCACTTGAGATAATGTAACTTCTACTCCTAAGTCCTTCTCTAGCTAACTTGGTTTCTTTCAATAACCCCATGATCAGATTACCCTATGGTTACATAACCCCATGATTACATAACCCCATGATTACATAACCCCATGATTACATATCCCCATGATCACATCACCCCATGATCACATCACCCCATGATCACATCACCCCATGATCACATCGCCCCATGATCTCATCGTCCATCACCCTATGATTTTATTTCCCCATCACACGATCTTCGCATCATCCCATCTCCCCTTCACCCCATCAACCCATACCCCATCGTCCCATCACAATCTCGCCCTTTCTTTGGATGTGCTCTGCACCACAATGGTTGCTGTTCAACAGCTTCGGGCAGTTCATTGGCTGTCCTCCCCACCATGGCCCCAATTCTCTTAGCTGCACGCACGAGGCACGAGCTACAAATCAGGAGCAATGAAATCAATACACTTGCATGGTAACGTTCCTCCCTTTTACTCCCTACTCCCAAATCCACTCTCCACCCTCCCCACGTCTTCCACCTCCCCGCTCTCTCCCGCCCTCTTTCCCTGACCACCCTTCCCGCATAGACCAGCCAGTAGCATCCTTCCTCTGCCGTCCATATGCCCACACATGATGAATGATCACTCATCTCTGCAATGAGGTCAGATTCGAACCTACCCTATAGGTGTCTGCTCGCATCGTCACCTGGCTAGCCACCACTGCCATTGCCACCCCATCCTTTCTTGGATCGACCCTTTCCATATGGACGACTCAAGTCCCTTGATCTTATCATCACATCACACCATCACACAAGCATCCCATCACATCGTCACACGATCTTCCAGTCACCCCATTAACCCATTACCCATATTCCCATATTCCCATCACCACATCATACCATTACCCCTTCGGCCATCGTCTCATAATCCCCGCACCATGCGCTTGCTTTGCCGTTGGCCCTCAATGCAATTGTTTGTGTCAAACAGCACTGAAGTCACTGTCTCGTCTATAACACATCGCTACCCACTGGGTCAAAACGAGGGTGTTATTTGGCGCAGCGGAATGCCCATTAGCACTTAGCCCACAGGCGTTACACTCGTCCCCCCCTGGTGTCAACGTCCTCGTTGACGAACTTCAGGGAGTCGGCCCCCCACGGGGACCTAGACTTCGCTGAGGCAGCAGCGACTTTGCTGGTGGACCAGGGCAGCGGAGGATCGTTCACTGGGTTCGATCCGGTTACCACATTCAAGTTCTCGCCACAGGCGGAAAATGTGGATCAGCCAGGATTTGAACCATAGGCTCTGATTCCAGTATATCACCTCGCTACCCACTGGGTCAAAACGAGGGTGTTATTTGGCGCAGCGGAATGCCCATTAACACTTAGCCCACAGGCATTACAGGTATGCCCCTGCATGTACCCAACTGTAGTAGTCGCATATAAGGATTTAAGCATGGGAGGGAGGGGGCAGCGGCAAAAAAAACAAGACAGAATCTATCACAGGAGGCGACAAGGGCCAGGGATGTAGGATGGAGCACATTGGCATGACTGGCTAACGTATAGAGATGAGACTAACATGTAGCGTAACGAGATGATAGTTGGGCTGCAAGGCTAAATTGAGATGCGAGGCTTGGGAGATGAAACCACAGCGGCAGAAATCCAAAGGATATTGAGATAGAGCACGATGGAGCTGTGAACGAAGTACAGGAAAAGAAACATGTAGGAGGATGGATCGGATACTGTGTGCAGGTGAGGGAGCACGGAGGGGTGGGAATGGGGGAGGGGTGGGAGTCAGAGGTAAGGGGCGTGGAGGGGATGGGGTGAAAAGTAGGCGCTGAGAAACGGGAAGGAGGAAGGGGATGGAATGGGAAGGGGGAGAGACGGTGAAGAGGGAGGGAGAAGAGGGGGTAGAGCGAGAGGAGAGGGGAGGAGCAGGAGGGAGGAATGGGTGGGAATGATGAAGGAGGGGGTGGGAGAAGGGGGTAGGAGCGGGAGGGGTAGAGGGAGAGCCGTGGTGGGGGAGTAGGCAGCAGTGGTGACAGGCCTTTTAAGTAGTGGAAATGCCTGTTCCCGAAGTGCTCACCTGCCTGTCGGTAAACTACTTCTTATTAACACAACGGACCGTCACTGAGCAAAATTGCTCCTGTGTACCCTTTGAAGTAATAATTGAGCCTGGTTCACGTTCACACCTCCTCACCATCGGCCCTCTTGCTGCTTCATTGGCACCTGTGGTGCTCCCCGTGGTCCTGCAGCAGCAGAAGCGACCCTTCCTCTCTGCTGCCAGGCACGCAACCTGTTCTTCTAAAGGACAGACACAACCTTGACAAACCGAAGCTGCACCGAGCGCTGGCTGAGGCTGAGCCAGATTGGTGGAGCACGTGGCTGGAGCAGGTGGCCCGGAGCAACAGAGCCATGACCCCGTCGCCCCGACTCCTCTCTCTGCCCTTCTGTGAATCTTCGCCACCGCCCCTTCTCCCTCCTTGGCCCTAGTGGTGAGAACTGCCCTTTAATGTTGGCCGACTAGCTTGTCACAGTCCCCAAGACCTCCGCCCCCCGGCCCCCACCTGGTCTGCTTTTCACGAGCCTTTCCTACGCTGTGTCCTTTCACCCGCTCCTCCTCTGCTGTGTCCTTCTTCCTATGCCTCCCCTTCCTGGTACCCTGGTACCACGATCATGGGAGGGTACTCAAATTCCATATCTACACGTCCCAGGTCACCCCATGCTCTTTAGTATTTCTTCTGTTTGCCTTGCTTTTGCTTAATTTGTCTCTGCGTGTTGGTGTGTTGTAGGACTTTGTATTTGTGTGGTGAATTATCTATTGTTGTTCGTACCAGGCCTCTTCTGAACCAGGCCAGCCTGCTTGCGGCAAGTGTCAATGCTAACCCAAGTTTGTCTTATAGTTATGATGTGTTCAATCAAAGGTGAAACCTATGAGTTGAACCTAAACTAAACTGAAACCTGAAGTGTAACTTGCTCTAATAAGATAACACAATGATAATTATGAGAGTGAACTCTAGCCTATTCCAATATTGCCGTCGCCATCCCCTCCTCCTGCTACCTCGTTGGTGCAGCATTGCTGGCACAGCAGCCAGCTCAGCAGCAGCAGCAACACGAGGACAGCCACAGTGCCAGCAGCAGCAATGCCAGCCATGGCTTCGCTGAATAAACCGCCCCTCCTTTGGAGGGAGAGGCGGAGGGTGGATTAGGAGCTGAAGTGGGAGGAGGTGGAGAAGGTGCTAGCGCTGGCGATGAGGAGGGTGCTGTCACTGGCGATGGTGAGGGTGCTGGCGCTGGTGATGGAGAAGGTTTTGGCACTGTCGATGGAGACAGTACAATAATGGGATTGGAAGATGAAGAAAGGGAAGGGAAAGGGAAATCAGACATGGGGATGACGGTGGGCTTGGTGAAAGTGGATGTGGCATCAGGCACATTTTGCACAGTGAGCGGTAGCAAAGAGAGGCATTGACGGGTTTAAACGGGTACTATTAATTAAAAGCCAAGCGGAGGCATGCAACAGGATGCGGATGCGTGAGGATGCGTGATGCGTGACACTAGAAAATATTGTTCTATGGGTTCTTGATACCTAGAAAAAAAAATCTGACACTGAAAAAGCTTGTTGAATGGGTGGCAATGTGGTGTTCATGCACTTGGCATGAGAGTTATGTAAGAATAGGCAATACAAATTGCAGCTACCTGCGTAAGAAGCATCTCACCTGGTGGTGGCTTGTCACATGTGGTGCAGAAGGAGCCGCACTGGCTGCAGAAAGCACTTGAAGTGGTCTGTGGGACCACGCAGCTTCTGTAGTCAGGAGGGCATGTGATTGCAGTCGAAGACATGTTCCTGCATGTGCACATGGAGCATTTATAAAACGAAGAATCGGAAAAGGGTTTCAGCTCGAAGTGAAACGCTATGAGGTTGCTATTGGAGTTGTATGGAACACATTGCAATACTCTACTATGCCAAGGTGTTATACAGGCTGAAAACAATGACGAACCATACATTTGTATATAACCGCCTTTTGAAGACGGCCTGACGTGGAGGTTTGGGTTGGGCCAGTCCAAGTTAGGTCCTTGTGTACCTCCTGCCTG